ATTCAGGTGCACCCTGTCCTTACTGTACAGGTCCCACCTTCCCCAGAATGTGCTCCAATTATCCACATAATGGAAGCCCTCCCTCCTACACCAGCCCTGTAGCCACGTGTATAGCTGCACTCTCTCCCTATTTCTTACTTCGTTATCACGTGGCACTGGTAGTAATCCAGAGATAACTACCCTGTTTGTCCTGGACTTCAGCTTCCAACCTAACTCCCTGTACTCGTTTTTCACATTCTCAGTCCTTTTGCTACCGATGTCATTGGTACCGATGTGTACCATGACTGCTGGTTGCTCACCCTCCCGCTTAAGGATCTTGAAGAGACGATCTGAGACATCACGGACCCTGGCACCCGGGAGGCAACATACCATTCGTTCATCTCGTTCACGTCCACAGAACCGCCTGTCTGTGCCTCTTACTATTGAATCCCCCACTACAATTGCTCTCCTATTCTCCCCCCTTCCCTTCTGTGTCACAGGGTCAGGCTCAGTGCCAGAGACCTGTCCGCTATGGCGTTCCCCTGGTAGGTCGTCCCCCCCAACAGTATCCAAAACAGTATACTTATTACTGAGGGGAACGGCTACAGGGGATCCCTGCACTGTCTGCCTATTCCCTTTTCCCCTCCTGACAGTCACCCAGCTGCCTTTTTCCTGTACCTTGGGTGTGACCACCTCCCTGTAACTCCTCTCTATCATGAGATCAGAAGAAATTTCTTCACTCAGACTTTCTCCACCCCATAGGGCTGTGGAAGCTCAACCAGCGAACATGTTCAAAATAGAGATTTCTAGATACTAGATCGAAGGATGAAGGGACAGTGCAGGAAAATTACTTTGAGGTGAATGATTGGCCATTATCTAGAATGGTGGAAAGGGCTCTGGGGCTGAATGGCCTACTCCTGCTCCACTTTTCTCCAGTGAGACTGAGAGGAGGTTTTGAGTGTAATAGCATTCACCCAGTGCTTGGACTCTTATTAAGAGCCAATGTACATGTAATCTCAACCTGTTTAATTTACAAACAATATAAACACAAATAGAGAACAGTGTCTGCAGTTTTAGACTTGCAGGAGAATTTTGATCAGCTATGTAAATCATTTGCGCACTGTCTGACCCTCTTGTTAATTCAAAGTAACTTAATTTGAATTATTCATAAAGTCAAATTGAAAACTGTGGGGAAAAAAAGTCCCCTGTGCTGTTTTCTTAAAAGAGCTTAATTTGAATTTGTGGATAATTTAATTCTTTCTCGAGTGAAAAATGAGTGGATTTCAATTTAGGTCAGTTATTTTAGCAGCATGGGCTCAATAACTGTTCCCTTATCTTGGAGTTTCTTTGATGATCTATAACTTTCTCAGTGACTTGACTCTATTCATGCAATTAAAAATGCAGAGATAACACAGTGTGGAGCTGGAGGAACACAGCAGGCCAGGCAGCATCAGAGGAACAGGAAAATTGACATTTTGGGTCGTGACCCTTTTACAAAAATGGGGCCCATTTCTGAAAGAGGGGTCCCGACCGAAAACTTCAACTTTCCTGCTCCCCTGATACTGCCTGGCCTGCTGTGTTCCTCCAGCTCCACACTGTGTCATCCCTGACTCCAGCATCGGCAGTTCTTGCTATCTCTAAAAATGCAGTGGCTCTGATATTCCTCCTTATCACACTGTATAGAGTTGTCAGTCAAACTTAGGGCATCCAAAGTGCACTACACCTAAGGACAATACAGTGTGGTGGTAGTATTACTGGACTAATAATCCAGAGGCTCAGGGACAAGTTATTAAAGTCTGGAATTAAAATGAAAGCTGTAAAACCTTGACTGGTTCACCAATGTCCTTTAAGGAGGGAAATCTGTCAATCTTATCTAATCTGGCCTATTTATGACTCCAGGTCCACAATAATATGCTCAACTCTTAACTGGCTTCTAAAATGCAAGCTACTCAACCTAGGGGCAATTATAGATTAGCAACAAATATTGGCTTTTCCCTTAATAGTAGGCAGAAATGCAGCAAAGAACAGCCAGCAGAAGATCTCCAGTGAGAATGAAATAGTGCCTTGGTTGGGGGTATTGGAGGAGTAGGTCACTTATCTTCTGGGACGTTCTCATGATCTGAATTGGAGATGTTGGAGGATTGAGGAGGGACTCTTTATACGTCCTTAAAATGGGAATCAAACTGCTGTTCTGACAGAAAGATAGGATGGGGAGAATTGCTACAATATCAATGGTGGCGTAATCTTAGCACTCAGCCAGGAACTTGTGGATTCAAGTCTCACACGAGAGAACTTAAGCACAAAATAAATCTAGATCAACATTCCAGTGCAAAACAGAGAGAATGCTGCACTGCTTGACGTACTGTCTTTCCAATTAGATGTTAAACTGAACTCTTATCGACCAAATGTAAAACAGCCACGAAACTAATTGATGAAGAGGAGTGGAATTATTTCTACTGTTATGGTCATAGCCTATCCCTCAATCTCTGAAATGAAAGATTACCCAGGGTTTACTACTTATGGGAGTTTGCTGTTTGCAAATTGCTTGTTACATTTCTCACATTACAGCAGATCACATTTCAAAAGGACTGCACAGCCATAAAGCGGTTTGGGGTGTCTTAAGGTCATGAAACTATTTGGCGAAGGGTACTGATTTTTGTTTTAGAACATAGAACACAGAACAGTACAGCACAGTACAGGCTCTTCGGCCTACGACATTGTGCCGAACTTTTACCCTAAACCTAAGGTCTATCTAATCTCCACCACTACCTTATACTATCACCCATATGCCTATCTAATAGCCGCTTAAAAGCCCCTAATGAGGCCAACTCCACTACCCTCTCCGGCAATGCATTCCACACCCCGACCACTCTCTGAGTAAAGAACCTACCTCTGACGTCTCCCCGATATCTACCTCTTTTCACTTTAAAACTATGTCCCCTCGTAAAAGCTACCTCCACCCTAAGAAAAAGTCTCTGGCTGTCTACTCTATCTATACCTCTGATCATTTTGTACACCTCTATCAAGTCAATTCTCATCCTTCGTCGTTCTAAAGAGAAAAGCCCTAGCTCTCTCAACCTTTCCTTGTAAGACCTTCCCTCCATTCCAGGCAACATCCTGGTAAATCTCCTCTGTACCTTTTCTAATGCTTCCACATCTTTCCTGTAATGAGGTGACCAGAACTGGACACAATACTACAAATGTAGCCGAACCAGGCTTTTGTATAGCTGGAGGATAACTTCACGGCTCTTGAACTCAATCCCTCTATTAATGAAAGCTAACACACCATATGCCTTCTTAACAACTCTATCCACCTGGGTGGCAGCTCTCAGGGAACTGTGGACATGAACCCCAAGATCCCTCTGCTCCTCCACACTGCCAAGAATCTTTCCGTTAACCCTGCATTCTGCTTTCAATTTTGTCCTTCCAAAATGAATCACCTCACACTTTTCAGGGTTAAACTCCATTTGTCACTTCTCAGCCCAGCTCTGCATCCTATCAATGTCCCTTTTTAACCTAGAACAGCCCTCCGCACTGTCCACAACATGACCCACCTTCGTATTGTCCACGAACTTGCTAATCCACCCTTCCACTCCTTCATCCAAATCATTTACAAAAATCAAAATAGAAGAGGACCCAGAACAGATCCTTGTGGTACACCACTCATAACTGAGCACCATGTTGAATATTTTCTGTCCACTACCACCCTTTGTCTTCTAAGGGTCAGCCAATTCTGAATCCAAGTGCTGTCCAAGACAGAAAGTGCTGTCTAAGGATCTTTAGTAAATTTCTGCAGTGCATCTTGTAGTTTTGATTTGCTTCTGAGACGTGGGCATCACTGGATGGACCAACATTTTATAGCTTGAGATAGTAGGAGCTGCAGATGCTGGAGAATCTGAGACAACAAGGTGTAGAGCTGGATGAACACAGCAGGCCAAGCAGCATCAGAGGAGCAGGAAGGCTGACGTTTCGGGCCTAGATTTTTGTTCTGAAATTTTATAGCCTGACTCTGCTTACCTTGATGGTGCTGAGCTCCCTCCTTGAACTGCTGCAAGTCCATGTGCTGTAGGTAGACCCACAATGCTGTTAGGGAATGAATTCCAGGATTTTGACCCAGCGACCATGAAGGAATGGTGATAAAATTCCGAGTCAGGATGGTAAGTGGCTTGGAGGGGAACTTGCAGGTGGTGGTGTTCCCATGTATCTGCTGCCCTTGTCCTTTGAAATGGAAGTGCTTCTAACATCATAGAATCTTTACAGCTTGGAAGCAGGCCAATCGAGTCCACACAGATGCTCTGAAGAGCATCCCACCCTCCCTACCCTATCCCTGTAACCCCGTGTTTCCCCACGGCTAATCCACCTAGCTAGCACATCCCTGGACACTATGGGCAACTTAGCATGGCCAATCCACCTAACCTGCACATCTTTGGAGGGTGGGAGGAAACCGGAGCACCTGGAGGAAACCCACGAGGAAACAGGGAGAATGTGCAAACTCCACACAGACAGTTGCCCAGGGGGTGGAATCGAACCTGGGTTCCTGACAATATGAGGCAGCAGTGCTCACCACTGAGCCATCGTGCTGCCCCAAGGTGGATCAGAAAGTTCTGCCTAAGGATCTTTAGTAAATTTCTGTAGTGCATCTTGTAGGTAGCACACAATGCTGCTACTGAGCATCAGTGGTGAAGGGAATGGTGCCAATCAAGTAGGTTGTATTGACCTGTTTGCTGTCAAGCTTGTTGGACCTGCACCCATTCAGACAAGTGAAGAGAATTCCATCCCTCTCCTAACTTGTACATAGTGGGCAGACTTTAGTACTCCATTCCCACCTTTGCCAACTCCAATACAAAAGGAGTAATTATTCAATCTCTATGCACCCCTCCCCTGTTTCTTTGTACCCGCAATTCAGCGGGGAGCTACAACTCAATTTCCCAAAAGCTAATGCTGCGTTAGAGTTTCTTGAAACATTTTCCACCTTCGCCATTCAGGAATGACTTTCGCTGCCGACTCTGAAGGCTACTTACCGCACTGTGGGATGTTCATGTGGGAAAGGAGGATGCTGGAGCTTTCGGTCTTACAGTACAGCTGCTGCCGATCTAACTGAGCTTCGCTAGCTTCCTGCCACAGCTGGATCCAGCGGATTTCACAGCTGCAATTGAATAGGTTTCCAACCAGAATACTGAGAAAAGAGGGCAAAGTTAGAGACGTTTAGAGAAAATTAATCTTCAAGTTAAAACTCACTGTCATCTTTGTATCAGCATTTGAGCCTCCTCGGGTCCAGTGGGAGGCCGACTCCAAGGAGAATCAAGAGGATTGGTCAAAAATTTCCCATCATTCCTCTACCCAGGGCCAGCTGACTGTCAATCTGATTCATTCTACCATGGCTCAGTACAATGCAATGGAGCCTCAACCTCAGCCTCTTCTCTCACACATCTAAAATTAGTGACTTGGTGGTGAGGGGTTAATAGCGGGGATCTATAAGCTGAGTCCGCATCATATCAGGCCATGATTTTGGTCATTCTACTAAGTCACAACATAGGATCTGGCGAGATGGTGGCACAGTTGTAAGGTCACCTGAACTCATAACGCAGAGACTCATGATTCTATCCTGTGTACATGGGTTTGAATCCCACAATGAATCTGAATCCAATTATTTCATTAATCCATTTTTTGTAATTGAAAACTGGTCTAAGTAATGCTGCCTTAAGACTATGATTCATACAATCCCTACAGTGAGGAAGAAGGCCATTTGGCCCATCGAGTCCATACCAACCCTCCAACGAGCATCCCGGCCAGACCCACTCCCCTACCCTATCCCTGCATTTCTAATGGCTAATCCACCTAGGCTGCACATCTTTGGACTGTGGGAGGAAACCAGAGCACCCTGAGGAAACCCACACAGACACGGGGAGAATGTCCAAACTCTGCATTGTTGCCGAAGGGTGGAATTGAACCCAAATCCCTGGCACTGTGAGGCAGCACTGCTAACCACTGAACCACCATCCCACCCCACAGTTGTCATTTAAACCCATCTGATTCATGAATGCACTTTATGGAATGACATCTGCTGTCCTTACCAGGTCCAGGTCTACATGTGACTCCAGAGCCATAGTAACATGGTTACTTTTAACTGCCTTCTGAAATGGCCTAGCAGGCTTCTCAGTTCAAAGGCAGTTAGGGATACAGTACGAATGTCAGCAATGTCCATTTCCTAACACCAATGAAAAAGCACACAGATAAACAAACGTAGATATGGTAATGGTGAACTCTTGTATTGCATGACTGGTGAGAATACTATGTATAGGTACCAACCTTGCTGTACCGGGATTGTACGTTCACCTGATTAACTAACTGATTATTGAGGTCTAAGAGGTATGGGCCTTTGATTTGATTAATCACCATGGGTCGGGCCTAGTGGGCAATGTACCACACACAAATGGGATCAAAGCGATCACCAAGTGCCCATGTATCGCATGGGGGCCCTGGAGGCCTTGGTGGTAGAACAAGCAGCCATTTGACATGAAGAAGCACATCATTGTATCTGAATAACCTGCATCATAAGAATGTGGGCTGGATAAATAGTGACACTGAGTTATTGGAATCAGACTAGTTCCAGCTCTCACACACTTGCGGTGTCGTTGTACCCCATGGAATAAATGGAAATTGCAACACACGAAAGGTGCCTGCGGGTTCACAAGAATAGTCCCAGGAATGTAAAGCTTAACATATGAGGAACGTTTGAGGACTCTGGGACTATACTCATTGGAGTTTAGAAGGATGAGGGGGGATCTAATTGAAACTTACAGAACACTGAATGGCCTGGACAGAGTAGATGTTGAGAAGATACTTCCATTGGTAGGAGAGACTAGGACCCAAGGGCACAGCCTGAGAGTAAAGGGAAGACCTTTTAGAACAGAAATGAGGAGAAACTTCTTCAGCCAGAGAGTGGTGAATCTATGGAATTCACTGCCACAGAAGGCTGTGGAGGCCAGGTCATTGACTACATTTAAGACTGAGATAGATAGGTTCTTCATTATCAAGGGAATCAAGGGTTACAGGGAGAAAGCAGGAGAATGGGGTTGAGGAACTTATCAGCCATGATTGAATGGCGGAGCAGACTTGATGAGCCGAATGGCCTAATTTCTGCTCCTATGTCTTTTGGTCTTACACTGGATGGCATTTTCAAAGTGCGAAACCAAACGAAGCAGAGGCCAGCTAAATAATCAGGAACCACAATATCAGGGCTGTCCCAGTTACTTTCTTTGCATAAAAGTCGCTGTGATGCCCTATCGGGAAGGAAAAGCTGCCATCTTTACCTGGTCTGTCCTAGGCGTGGCTCCAGGTCCACATCTAATGCCCATTAAGCCCATCTGTTGTGTCTAACTGCTATAAATTCTGGTTAAGGGAATGAAACTGGGTGGATCACTTGACATTAACCAAGGCACCAAAAATGACAATGGTACACCCAGCCTTGTTGATCCTGCAAACTCCTCCTCTCTAACATCTGAGAGCTTGTGTCAAAGCTGGGAGAGAAAAAGACCAAGATGGTCATTCTCACAAAATCATACCTTAAAGACAATGTCCCAGGCAGCACCAAAACCACTCCTGGATATGTCCTGTCCCACCAGCAGGAGAGTCCCAGCAGAGGTGGCAGCACAACAGTATACAGATGGGAGGGAGTTGCTCTGAGAGTCTTCAACATTGACTCCACATCCCATCAAGTCAAACATGGGCATAGACACAACCTGCTGGTTACCACACACCACTGTACCTTCACCTGGGGAATCAGTTCTCCTCCACGTTGTACAACACTTGGGAGGAAGCAGTGAGTTTGGCAGAGGCACAGAATGAACTTAGGTTCGAGGAACTTCAATGTCCATTGTGGCCAAACAGGCCGCTCAAAATGGCGGACTTACAAAAAAACCGGGTAATAAATAAAGCATGCTGGGAAATCAAGCCAAACATTGGCCAAATTATCTATGCTAAAGAAAAAACAAGCCACAAACCCAGACAGGTGGCAGCTTCAGATAGCACAATATACAATTGACCCAGCCCATCTCATGAAAAATAGGAAATATTGAGTTGTTTTCCAGAACAAAGGAGCATCTCACACTCTTATTTGGAAAAGGCTATCTGTGCCCCTAACACCTTCAGGAATGGAAGCCCAAGGACCACCATACTATCAACACGTCAATGCCTGATTGTGTCTGATCGATCAGGGTGATGAGCTCTGATTGATCCATTAGTAGGAATTGAAGATTCTCCTGAAAGGGCACAAAAGCTTCCAGGGATAAGAATCGCGGCAACACCACCCCCAGGAGCGGTAACTCAAGACCAACAACGGTGAAGAGGAGGCTGCCCTGGGACCACCGGGAGAAGTAGTCCAGACGATCATCGCCACGTGGATCAAGGCCAGGATCTGTTGTGGTGGTATTTGATCATTCGAAGTTTAGTTAACATATAAGTTAGTCATTTAGATTTATAGTGTTAATTGTTAGTTTGTAGTGTATTTTGTCATTATACTATTAATTGTGTTGAAGTAGATAAAAATCATTTCTTACTACTATAAGAGTCGACTCACAATTTCTTTGCTGGATAGAAGGATTAAAACATACAGTGTGGCAGGCACAGCACCAACATGAAGAGTGGTTCAGAAGCATCACTGCCATTGGTCAGTGGAGTACTTAACTCTTTAAAAAGGGTTGTTACAAATGTCCCCAACACCCCCTCTCACAGGCCTCAGTGAGGGAAGCTTTTGGAGACACAATGTATTTCCTGCCTGACATGAGTCAGAGTTAATATGCTGTCCCATTTTGGCCATTCTCTCTGTGGTGTTGCCTCCTGTGGGGAGAGCAGCAAATGAGGTGGTACCCTTGATGTGAATAAGCCTAGGCTTGGAAACAGGATAGTATCAGCCATGTGCCGGCTCCTCCAGTGACTCCCATGGGAAGGCATATGGTTGGGAGTTCTTGAAAGCAAAGTACTTCACATCATCCCACTTGGGAAACTATGACTTGACTAGGTTCACACTTAGGGATGGCTATGTAATTAAACCGTCGGAGGCTTCCTGTAGCCTAGAATTGTACTTCAAAGCAAGCCAGGATCTGAAGGAGGTGAGAGGGAAATGTTGGAAGAAGATGTAAAAGTGGTGATGGCCAACACAGGACAAAGCTCCTGTTCCTCTCCGTTATCACACAGTTGTAAAATCTGCTTTAGAACACACAGTAGGAGTGAGGTAATGAGATGTGGAACACTGGTGATGTTTCACTAGAAAACTCCACATCAGCCTTAGGAGGTTGAGAAACAGAATATTTAACTGAGATTGTAAGACACTTATGAGATTGTACTTACAGCTGGGCGAGTTGCAGTGTCCTAAAGGGCTGCCAGGAAAGGCTGGTGAGATGATTACCCGAGAGATTGCTGCAAATTCAAGAGGAAAGGAAACACTTTATTAATTATTTTCAGAGGAATGTGCTTAATGTTTTAATGTCAGAAACTGCATTGGAGATATTGTCTAATCAACCTGTTCAGACATTGTTAGGACACACCAGTGGAGCAGATAGGATTTAAACCTAGACTTTCTGGTCCAGAGGAGAAACTGCACTGTATTCAGAGCTGCATGAAGATTAAACACATGCCCTTATTAACATTGAGACCTGTGAATGCGAATTGCTGCGTTCAACCAACTCCAGGAGAGCGTGCACATCACCCACAGTGCAACATCTCTGTCTCTGGCTCGCTGCAGTGTTCTCACAAAGCTCAATGCAAACTGGAAGAACAACACCTCATTTTCTGCTTGGTGACCCTGCAGCCCTCTGGACTCAATACTGAGTTCAATAATTTTAGGGCCTAAACTCTCCCATGTCCCAGCCCCCTACCCCACACACCAGGCCTTGTTATCACACAGCCTGCCATTCCACACTACCTATTGTTAGTCACTAACAGACCCCATTAACAGCTATTCACCCTCCCAGCCAGATCGTTATCAACTCCTTTGTCTGTCCAATTGCTCTTCTGTCTCTTTGGGCTCTATCCTATCGTTTACTCCCTACCCCACTCACCCCCTCCCTATTTTCTGCATATAAACCAACATTTTCCCAGCTGCCATCAGTTCCGAGGAAAGGTTACCGGACCCGAAACGTTAACTCTGACTTTTTCTTCACAGATGCTGCCAGACCTGCTGAGCTTTTCCAGCAACTTCTGTTTTTGTTCCTGAAGTGTTGCCCTGCCCTCCCCAAATGAAGTCGTCCCTACATCTGCCCAGTCACAGAGAATGCTGAACCTCTGCATTCACTTTCGTCCAACTAATTCTGTTTTTTATATCACAGAGAATGCGATGCCAAATGAGTATCGGGAGTGATGAGATTAACCGGGTTCGTGGCACTCTGCGCCGGAGTTTCAGTGCAGCCTCTGATTGAAGTGTGTCAATTAGTGACTGAGAATCAAAGAGAGAGACTCGACTCTGATTGACAAGATTAAATATCCAACATCGAAGTAATTGTGGCTCAATTTGGTGAAGCGCAGATTGATGAATCTCTCCCATCAGCCAACAATAATCTGCATGCCAGGGAGATACGAGGCATGCTGTTTAAAAAACAGGGGCCTTCTATTTAAGACCGAGCTTGGGCAAACATCGATTTTTTTTCTCTTATAGGAGTTCTCTTCATTACAGAGAATGGAGGCTGAGCCATTGGTGATTTAGATTTTGGGACAACAAAAAAGTCAAGGATTATTGGTGGGCGTAAGGGGAGGGTGGGGGTTGGGTGGTGGCGGTAGCAGTAAAGCGTAGTTAAGGCCATTATCTGCTCACCATGACCCTAATGAAGGGCAGAGCTGGCCTTACTCCCTGCTCCTACTGCTTATGTTTTTATGGGGAGAGGCTAGCGGACCTGGCAATATTCACTGGGAGTAGACAGCTCTCTTATATGGGTATGCAGCAAGCTCTACAGCAAAGGTTGCTATTTTCGGGGGAAATACTACACGCCTATCAATCACCACCTCTTCTACCCCTTTGGCTCCACAACCTGTGAGGAAGTCACACTACGCAGCTGCAGTAGGAGCTCAGTGTGCCAATGTATCTCAAGACCCGCGCTCTGCAGCGGCCACAGTGGGAATGAAAACAAATAGGTAGCAGCTCCATCAAAAACTGACAAAGAGACCAAGGGGTTGACTTTTCAAGTTGGGCTCTTCATTAAAATAGATGGAATCAAATTGAAGGCTCACCAACAACTATTCTTCTTACAATGCTGCCAAGCTCTGTCAAATATTTCCAACATTTTCTAGGCAAGATTTTTGTTGTCGATATTTTCCCAATCAAATGTTCAGAGATGTTAATACACACCTCTTGAACCTGGTCCTCCTGGTAAAGACACTATTACTGCACCACAAGGGCACTAAGATTTTGTTGCCCTGTCCTTGCTGAATCTATGCAAGAAGTCATTTTCTTTGTAGCTTTAAGAAGATCTGCACTTTATGATGAAGTGTTTGGGGAATCATCACTTCACAGACATCCTGTTGGGACTGATCAAAAACAATGGAAGGTTCAAGTAGAGGGAGGAACTTCAGAGCACAGCTCGCATCTCCTCAGAAGCAACTTGTTCTTGCTTTTCCAAGACATTCTGCTGTTTCTATTGTCAGGTCACAATTCCTTGCCATGTGACTGCTGTTCCCATTACCATCTGCATTGCAGCTTGGAGTTTCCACAGTAACCACCAGTCATTTATCTATGCCTGTGCCTCAACCATTACTGACAAGGATTTACATTCAAACAGAATTAAAATTCTTTGTGTTTTAACCAAAATATTCTCTCACAGTGGAACTGCATCGTCCACTGGCAAATCTCAAACCAGTGCCCCTTTCCTCCTGAGATAACAAGGTGCAGAGCTGGATGAACACAGCAGGCCAAGCAGCATCAGAGGAGCAGGAAGGCTGACGTT